CATGAATTTGAAGACTACATTATTTTACTTATGATCTATTCCAGAGCCTCTTCAACTTTCATCCATCTATCAAATTTTTGTCACATTGATAGATAAATATCTATAGCATATTGAGTTCACTTCACATGTAAAATTTTTGTAAACATCTAATTGAAATATGGTTTCTATTTCAAAATTAGATAATTTTAAAATAAATAGTAATAAATTCAAATAAATAGTTCTAATATTAGCTATAGGTGATTTTTTTAAAATAAAAACCATGCCATATTTTTTAGCTTTTTCACAAGTACTGTCCATCCATGGATTAAAAAAAGATATTGAAACTCAACTTTGAAGTTTTCTTCATAGTGCTATTTGCTACATTTGTCAATAACAACAAAGAGAGTAATATCTCATACATATTATGTAATAATCATCAAACTGCAAAGATATAGAGTGCAAAGTAAAAAATAAAATAAATATGTATCTATTTTACTACACCACTAAGTTGTGCATTGAGCCATGCTTTAAAGTCAAAGATTGGAATTAAAAATGCACTTCACAAAATCCAATGCCCATTGTTTCTCTTCTCTCACATCTTCTTCACACCTTTCGTCTTCTACATAGATAAGATATTATAATTTTGTCTTCCTCTCTATTAAGGACCAAACTTCACTTTTAATAAGTAAGTCTCATCTTGAGCAAAAAAGAAATGAATATCATATATAGCAACAAATAGATTCCTACCTACAAAATATTGTTGATGTAGAATCATGGTTTTGATAAAGGCCTATGAATTCCATACAACATTAATTTTTTTGATAAAAACCAAGAAAGGTGCATTCGGTGAATCAAAGCCACCACTTGTTTCTTTGAGTGATCTTAATACATAGATGTAATCTAATTTATGTAATATGAAAACTATAAAAATTATAAATATAACTATAAAGATAAAATTTATTAATATAAAATAATAAAATAATAAAATGATTTTATTTCTTATAAAATCCTTTTATAAATCCGTATTTGACAATGATATCTTAGCTTTTGTTATTGAAGAAAGAAAGATGATTGTCGAAGGATGTAAAATATGTGCAATATAAAATCATGAAGACATAAAATTCTTCTATGTATGGTTTTTTTACAAAAACTTAAGAAAAGTTATAATTCTTTCTTTTTAATCTTCATGCATATATTCCAAAGTACTAAAAAATAATAATTGATCAAATTCTCATTTCAATCAACTATACAATTCAATTAACATTTCTATTTGAGCTTTGAACAGTGTCTACTTCAGAGCGCTCTTGAGTAAATTCTAGACCTACTGTCAATACTTGCTTTACTATAATTCTCTAGTGCAATTTTAGATGATTCTTTATTCCATTGCACATCATCAATATCTTCCAACAATCAAAAAAAATGCAGCTTCTATCATTGTAGTGACAATATTGAATTTGACAAAGAAAAATATACAAAGTCTGCAAGAATGAAGATGATGTAGCAACAAATATTTATTCTCTACCTTTATTTTAAATCAATTGAATCCACAATATACAAAATGCAACATACTTGAGCTTGAAAAATAATCCTATTAGAATAAATTAGAATAAAATTTTGTTCTTATTACACAATATACATTTTATTTTTTTTCTTTTACAACTTGCATCTTGCATTCAACTATACATTCACCTTAAATTGCATTCAATTGTAGAAAAAAGAATAAGCCTTGTAAATTCTTTATATCATTGATTGCTATAATAATATTATGTTGTTGATATTAATCAATGTTATTCATTATAATATCATGGACAACAATATGGACAAAGTTTCACCTTATTTAAAGCATCTTTTAAAGTGTGATGAAATGAATTCATGATATATAATTTGATTTATGATGTTTACATCAAAATTTGATTCAAACTAGAACAGTTCCAAAATAAAATTTTACATGACTTGAAATAGCATTTTTAGCCCTATCTCATAGAAAAATATATGGTTAATAGTAGCAACAAACAACCTCCACACTCATGTCAAATATCTACCTTATTCTAAATGTTACTTACTAGCATATTTTTCTTACCTTGCATCTAAATGTAATATTAAAAATAAGTAATCATCTAACATTTGATTGCCTGATTTTCTCTAAATTATTGAACTTCACCTTTAATTGCATTCAATTGTAGAAAAAAATGTAGCTTCAATTGCATTTTCAATTGCATTCAATCACAAAATTATAGAAAAAAAATGAGCCATGTTAATTTGTTGTCGATTCCGCTTGAATTTCAATCAAGCTTTTGATTCCTTTTAAACTCTAAATAATGTTAATTTTTTTGATAAAAACTAAGATAGGTGCAGGCAGTGAATGAGAGCCACCACTTGTCTCTTTCAGCATTCTTAATATATAGATAATATATATATTAATAATCAATAAATTTACTATTTTTTTATAATTTCAAAAATATATATGATTATTTTTGGTGAATTATTTTTTATTAATATAATCTATAAGTTAAATTAGGGCAATACATTTATACATAGTTATCTCTTAAAATAATTTAATTTAAATTTAATAATAAGATATATTTATAATATTATTATTATAATTAAATATTTTATTGCCAAATAAGAAATATATATTTTTAAATTCATTCTTATATAAACAATATAATAGGTAATCAGCATATATTTTTAAATTTATATAGAATATTATTACAAAATAAATGTAATATTTGTGTCACTAAGTAATTAAAATTTGAGAGTTATCAAATAAAATTATATATTTTTTCACTTGTAAGTTAAAAACAAAAAAACGAAACAAAACAAAACAAACAAAATGAACAAAAAAATACCAATAAGTTTAAAAATGCAAGCTTCATTTTAATTTGTTTTAGTGCTTGTCTTTTATTATATGTATGTATGTATGTATGTATGTATATATATATATATATATATATTACACGATGTCATGTAAAATAAACATGAAACAGTCTCACATCCCTTTATTTTAAATCTCATGTAAACAAATAATCAGTTGATTATTTGTTGAAATAATACAAAAAATAAAATTAAATAAAATAGAGGTAGGGATATTCTTTGCAAAATTTCCTCATAAATATAATATAAATAATAAAAATAATAAAATTGATATTATTATGACATATATTATGCAATTTATGACAAGTTTTGAATATTTGATTTAGACTTGTCTACTTTGACTATTACGTTTTTTATTTTAATTAATATCACAAATTAAAACATGTAATTCATAATAATGTTTTATTTATTTGATCAATGGTATAGATTTATTTTAAAATTTATTTAATATTTTTAAAAACAGATTGTAATATGTATATATCTATTTAAGGGATTTTTAAATATTTAAGATCCACTTTAGAAAGCTATGGCACAAAAGTTTTTCAAAGGTCTCTCACTCTGCAAAGAAAACTCTTCATGAAAAGTTTTGACTCGTGAAGATAATATAAAGTGAGAAAATACTGTAAAAGGTATAATTTATTATTATTATTATTATTATGATTCTAAACTTGTCACGTTATATCTCATTTTTATGAATATGGTTTCATGAAGAGTTTTTATATTTATTGTTTATGGTTTTTATTTTTAGTAGTTATTTTTAATCAAAACTTAATTGGGTCTTCAACTTTTTGTAAGAACCACTTCTTGCAGTAAACCTATTACAAATTCCAATAAACAAGCACTATTCATGTCATGTACAAAAATTATGCATTCTATCTCATCTTTTGTTCTTATTGTATTTAGAATGATATTTGTTAGAATAAAGTCAACCAAGTAAGACTTTTCAATTCCAACTTATCTAATTTTTTTTAAGTTCTGGGCTCTTACCTTTGCTTCTAAGTTTGAAGGCCTTCTCATATTATCTAATTTTATTTTCTTGTTCATTTGAATTCTATAATATATTTAAAAATTGGAAAATAAAACATATCTTTTGTAATATTTATAATTATTATTCAATATTATATCATCTTAACAAATGACAATAATTATAATTTTTTAAAGGTTTTTATTATTAAACTCGAGCTTTACAATTCTACAATTAATAATTATTTTAAGATAATTCAATGAAATATAAACCTTCTGTTTGTAATATATAAACATAAATATACAAAAATGTTTAAGTGTATATATATATATATATATATATATATACATATATATTTTTATGCATATATATTGACACATATATATTTATGTTATATAATAACATGTATACATATATACATATATTTATGTTATATAATAACATGTATACATATATACATATATTTATGTTATATAATAACATATATATATATTTATATATATATATTGAACCTTTTTGTTTGTAATAATAATAATAATAATAATAATAATAGTAATATATAGAATTGATTCAACTTACAATATTAAAAAATAAAATTTTAGGAAAAATAACCTTATGAATTAGCAATTATGCCAAAAAGCGTCTCTACTATTTTTGCACATTTAAAAAAATAAATGGTTTTCTTTTATGAAATCAACTGAAGAATACTAGTTTTATGAACAATTGAACTAAATTCGGCACAATATTTTATATTTATATTTACTCATTATTATTTTTTAAAATTTTATACCATCATGGATGAATGCAAAAACAGAACACAAAGAAACAAAGCAAAAAATATATATATTTAAAAAAGACCTTGGTGGAGATTAATAATAAGTTTCAGGATGCCGTTTGTTCAACAAGGCATTACCGTGCAGGGACTGATTGGCACATGTTCCAGACGACAAACCGGAGAAAACGAAAGATGCCGGCAACAACGAACGAAGCATATTTTCGTTCGGGGGCAACGACTGTCGTGGCGGCATTTGGACGAAATCTGACAGAGAGAGCAACGTCGCGTGGGGGGGGGCACCCGATCACATGCGAGAGTGGACGCAGATTCCGAGGTGGAACGGGCGAGAGTAGGCAGAGCACGAAGAGAAACGAACACACATTTCGAGGTGGAACGGTAGAGGAGGAAGGGAAGGGAAGGGCTTGATGCTGTCAGGGCCAAGTTGTGTGTCATGAGAGCTCAATCGCACTCTTCAACGTTGGCTTAGCCCAGCCACCAGCAGGGTCCTTACACTGCCATAGCCACAGCCCTACGCTGCTCCCTACTCTCCCCCCGCTGCTCCTCGTCTCTTCTTCATCCCCCGCACCCTCATCTTGTTTCTATCGTGGTGATCGCTTCCTCTCTTTCTCCCCTACTGGTGGACCTAAGCCTCGCCTGAATCCGTGCTCGGACGCCTCCGCGAGGTTTGTCTCGTTTGTTGCGGTGGTTTCTTCTTCGTACTCTTCGTCTTCTTCTCCTTCTGCTTTCTTCGCTACGGTATTAGTTGCGTTGAAGCGTGCGCCGTTGGATGGCGGATTAGGGAGGCTATGCGTCAGGTGATGAATCCGTCTCGAGCGCGCGGATTTTTTTATCATCGCCTGCCGGTTTGGTTGATAGTCGAGTGTGTGTGAGAGGAGGTCGGCCTGGGTTGTTCGAATTCGGGCCTCGGCTGTGCGGTTTGGGTTGAGGCGGATTCGTTAATTGCGTTTCTTATGGCAACTCGGTATTAGGTCAGTGCATTCTCTTGAGGTGGTTTTTGTGGGGTTGTTATGAGGAGAAACGGTGGAGGGAGGAGGGGGGAAGGGTTTCGTGGGGCGTGGTGGTGTTATTGATACGAGACCTGTTGGTGTCGCGCGGTAGTTGCGGGAGAGGACGCGTCGGCATGTGAGGTGAACATGAAGCTTCTGGGTGGAGGTTATGAACAAGTTTGCGTGCTCCGGACGTGTTATCGGGACATCGTATGGACGAGCGCTCTAACGGATTGCTCTGTGCTTTCGCTCTGGGTGCTCATCTGAGTGTGACGTTCTTCACCAGGGCTTGAGGATTTTTTACGAAGCTCGACTATGTAGTTGTGCATCATCTCAGACTTAGTGGATCCCTGGACCTGCTGAACTGTTGTTTAGGAGGGAATGACTTCTTGTTGCTGAGGAAGCTCTGATTTCACTAAATCTCCTACATGTATTTGTTCCCGAGGCGGCTGTGTGGGTTGTGACAAACTCTTCATAAATTGTTTAACACACAGCACCTGACAGGATTTCAAAGCAATGAGCATGTAGTTTTTGTGTTATGTTATGTTATGTTATTTTTTTTTTTGGTTTGCTAGGGGATATGTTTAGCCTACGCGTGTCACATTCAACGTTTTCCCTTCATACTGTTGTCTAACAATCTTCATGGTCCTTTGCAGCACTTTGTAATAAAACCTAATCATTGCGAGCCCGAATTTTCGTTCTTAACAGTTCGAATCTGAAAGAATTGCGATAGACGTAATTCCGAACTGATTCAGTTTTCGTGCTGTGCAGCTGTGCAGATTCGGAGGTTTTTCTTGCAGGTCAGAGGTAGATGAATTTATTTAGCAGGAGATTTGTTAATGGAAATTGTTCCTTTGCGGCAATTCAGGAGCACTTAGTTATTGGATTAAGCAGGTTGAAGCTTAGCGACCTCACAGTAAATATTGTCAGATAGTCATGGGTGACGACGGGATCGATTACGGTAATGATCATGAAGACACAGAGTCTGAGGAGGATTATGTTGGAGACGATGGCGCTTGCGCCGGATACGATGATTATGTCGGAGACGATGAAGAGGTCTTGACTAATCAGGAACCAGCAGATACAAGTCACAAGGTGTTGCTTTGACTTCGAACATGTCTTTTTACGTTGAACATTCATTTTGTCAGGTTGGCGGCAGACAAGAACTTGGGACGGAACCATCAAGCGTGTCGCTGTCCGACTTTAGTGTATTCGGGCATTTTTTGTGTTTTACCAAAGACGATTTTACTGATTGGGGGTTCCGACCTGGTTTTGATCAATGCTCTTCAGCACATTATTTCCAGGATATTATCTGTTCTTTACAATTCAAATCTAGTCGTGACAAATTAAGAATTGTATCTTGATGATCCCAACAATACTTCGCTTTTTACACACTCATAGATTGTAACAGAAGGATTTAGGAGGTCTCATTTTAATATGAGAAGGCAGTGCGATTGAGCGCAAAGCGCGCACATCAGCTGTCTATGTGCTTCGAGAATTTCATTTGTTGCCAGCTGCTTTAGTACGGCAAGAGTTTTAGGCTTTCTCTTCAAACCATAACTTTTCTATTTTTTTACCTGGACCTAATTTATGGCTTCCTCTTTTGTCTGCAGGTTATTACAAGAGAGTCACTTCTCGCTGCACAGGTTAGTGTTTGCTGTGTCTAGAGTTCTTTTGTTTTTGGAGCTTGTTCTCTGGGAAGCAATCACTCGTGTCTTTTACTGTGCTTCTTTATCAATTCATTGGGTATATGAGCACTTTCGAAGCTATTTTGGGGGTTTATGTGAGTCAATTCTATTTTATGAGGACCTTAGGTGCATATTTGTTGGGGTATCTGTGCCAGTGTTTTGGTTTAGAAACCCCAACCAGTTTTTTTTGTTTTGTTTTGTTGTGACCTTGGTGAGACATGAATCGATCTAGTGTTCTGGTTGAGACTTAAACTCTCCTTCAGTTTAGAACCCCCTTCATTTTAGAAAAAAATAGATTCTTTTTTGATATTTTTGTGTGTAGCGGGTTCCTTGCTCTCACGTGTTATCGTGTGTGTTGAAAACAGAAAGACGATATAAGAAAAGTTGTTGAAGTTCTAGCATTGCGACCACGCCAGGCGCGGACGTTGCTCATACATTATAGGTGGAATTTGGAAAATTTGTTTGGTGCTATTGCGGAAAAGGGTTACGGTCCAGTTTTCTTGGAAGCTGGCTTACCACCCCCTGAGACGGAGGTAGTTGTGCCTGTAGCTGACGATGCAAGCGTGTCTGTTAGATGTGGAACGTGTCTCGAAGACGTGCCAACAACTACTGCTACACGAATGGATTGTGGACATGCTTTTTGCAACGAATGTAAGGAACTATTATCATCTTTCACTTCTTTCTGTAAGTTCTGTCAGTTGTTCACTGAGGGTAGACGATTTGGTCATGTGAGGGTCTGAGATTTTTACGCTTTTGTTCTTTCTTTCTTTCAGGTTGGACACAGTACTTCATTATCAAAATAAAGGATGGTCAGAGTCGACGAGTGACATGTATGGAGCATAATTGTGGTGCAATTTGCGACGAAGACAAAGTACGGGATCTGGTCGGTTTACAAGATCCGGAGTCGGTTCAGCGTTACGAGAGGTTCCTTCTGGAGTCTTACATAGAAGACAATGCTAAAGTGAAGTGGTGTCCTAGTACTCCTCATTGTGGCAATGCTATTCGATTGGAAGGGGAGCCATTCTGTGAGATCGAATGTAAATGTGGGCAGCAATTTTGCTTCAACTGCATGGCTGAACCTCACTCTCCGTGTTCCTGTAATATGTGGACATTATGGGATAAGAAGTGCAAGGACGAATCTGAGACAGTGAATTGGCTTACCGTCCACACCAAACCTTGTCCAAAGTGCCATAAACCAGTGGAGAAAAATGGTGGCTGTAACCTTGTCAGCTGTATCTGCGGTCAGGCGTTTTGGTAAGTCTCCTATCAGCAGTTTCTATTTTTGTGGACATCTATATTCTAGCACGAGTACAAGTATTATCAGCTGACTAATGCCTGTCATATTTGCGTGCAGTTGGCTATGTGGAGCAGCGACTGGTCGTGAACACAACTGGAATAGCATTGAAGGGCACAGCTGTGGTCGTTTTCAGGACGAAAAGGAAAAGGAGGCTGCAAGAGCGCAGCGAGACTTGAAACGATACATTCACTACCACTCCCGCTGGAAAGGGCATCTAGATTCTTTAAAACTGGAACAGAAACAGGAAGAGACTGTTAAAGAGAAGATCACTACACTTGAAGCAAGTCACTGTCAAGTTAAAGATTACAGCTGGCTTACTATTGGCTTGCAGAGGCTATTTCGTGCTCGCCGGGCTCTCTCCTACTCGTTTGCTTTCGCCTACTTTATGTTTGGAAATGATTTATTCAAGGATGATATTTCTGAAGAACAAAACGCTATCAACCAGAATTTGTTTGAGGATCAGCAGCAGAAGTTGGAGGAAACGGTGGAGCGCTTGTCCAAGCTCGTGAAGGTGGTTGAAACCCCTTTGGAAGAAAACACTGATGATAGTTATATGCAGGATATTCGTCTGCAAGTTATTAACTTTACCACTTTGACTGATGGTCTCTGTAGACGCATGTACGATTTTATTTCACCAGCTCTTTGTATTGTTCTAGCAATACTTGTCCTACAACACTTGTTTAAATATTTTTTTATGTTTTCCTTGTGTCTTTGGTGCCTGCTAGTTGCACTAAAGAGTTCAGAAAACCTGTGCATTCTTTATGATTGAAATAGGAGTTTTTGCGTACATGCTTTTTGCGTTATGGTTCTATGGTTTCTTGGAAATGCAGGCGTCATGAATACTAACATCTTAATTTAGTTGCTGTTCGATTGACTGATTTCTTGTATATTGTTTGTGACAGGTACGAGGTGATAGAGAATGATCTATTAGGTTCCTTGCAGCTTGCTACGCATCACATTGCCCCTTACAAGACTGGTGGTGCAGAAAGGGCCTCTGAGATTGCTGCGGAACCTGAAAGGTTTCACATTGATCGGACCCAAGATATTAAATCTGAGTCCAGGTCCAAAACAGACTGCCTTTCAATTGCGAATGGTGAGTGGAGACAGATGCAAGCTGATGCTTGTGGAAACCTTTCAACTGTAAATTCCCCAACGCCAGCGTAGCAAATACAGATGCATGAAACGATAGAGTCTCTTAACATGCCGTCACTCGTATACCCCCAAAATTTCAAAAGACTCAATATTACAATGTATCAATGAATTAGGACGATTCGATTGTGATTTAATTTTCTGATACACGTGGAGAGCATTGAGTTGAAGATACATCTGAGCTTAGACGGTTTCTAAATGAAACTAGCTTGTGAAGGGTAGGGGATCAGTCGAAGCCAAATTTTGCTATTTCTGTTCTTCACTGAGTGGATTTATTTTATTGAGACCCAATCACAGAATTTAAAAATCTACTAGAGCAATTTAGAAACGCAGCCTTACCTCTAACCCAATTAATTAACTGTTGGAATAGCTTTGTTTTTCCATGATACGTTTGTTGAAGTGCGAGAGGATATTGAACCTACCAAGGGTTCTTAAAACTAAGTAGTTTTTATTAATCAATCGATGATCATAACAAAAATATTAATTTAGGAACATGTTTTGGAGGTTCTGATGCTAGTGTTGTTGTTGCTTCAGTTGCAGCAGAGCATGCTGATGGAGATATTGGAGGCAAGCAGGTGAAACTTGAGGTGGAAGTTAGCGGGGATGTTGACATGTCTGAAACACCTAGTGCAGACAGAGTACACAAAAGGCCGAATTTGTACCCCAGTTCACCACGAAGCTGCAAACGGTTTGGTAAAGAACCCTCTGTTTCTGGTCCTTCAGTAGTTCGAGAACCAGGAAAGACATTTGGGTCAATATCTGAAATTGTAATTAATAGTGATGCAGCATTAGACTCTGTTCCCAGTTCTAGCTATTCTACAACATTGTGGGAAGGGATAGCTCTTGGCAGCAAAGATGTAAGTGGCCAACAAAGGTTAAATCCTGCGGAAAAGTTGCACTGGGAAAATGCAACCTTGTCGGCCTCGCCTACAGGTGAAACTGATGGTCAAGATGAATTGTTGCAACAGCAGAGTGATTCAACTGAATGGCAGTTTGGGGCCCTGAATGCACAACCTGCAGTCTCCACATGTTCCAGTGACTTCGATTCCCAAGGAGGCATTATACAAATGAACATTAACAGGTGGTTTATCTCAATTCATGCTTTGTGTCCACTATGGTGGATATGAAGCATACCTGTTAGATGCTTTCTTTTATGAATATCACATTCCACATCTATTCGGGTTTTAGTATTAGTCAAGACAGGTTGGGCAGGGATTAGCTGCTTTGGAAAGTACTTGAGAAATCACCGGCAGAACCTTGTGTAAGGATTCGTGAAAGGTAGTTATGGCTTTGAAGTATGTTGCAATTGCGTAGTGTAAGAATTGTGAGTCGCTGCTCCATGTGTAGACTTTTAGTTTCGAAAGACGGGTTTCATGGTTTTATTTTGCACCATTTTTTAAACTCAAGGTCTCGTATTGTTTGCAGGCCGTGGAATGACGGGTGATGCAGGTATAAATTTGTCATGGGATTAGCGAATGAAGAGGCCTGCTTTGAGAATTTTGGATTAAAAGACAGGAGCAGGCTAAAGCTTTTGTTGTTTCGTTACAGCCTGTGTTTTCCTTCTTCAGGGACCGACTTCCTTCAGTACACATTGGTTGAGGATACTGTCTATCTTGAAGTCCGCTTGGAGTGAGGCTAAACGAAGCTCTCATTCTCTCTTTCAAGACTGGTTATGAACAAATCGGGTTGCCTCGCTGGCTATCCATAAAGATGGAGCCTGCAAAGCAGCAGGCCATATGCCCCTCGTATAATCCTTTAGCTGATGGATGCTTGCGGCTGGGTATGTTTTTTACTAGAACCATAATCACAGCTTGATATCTGATTTTAGGTGCACACCACTTGTTTGCCTGAGACTCGAACTCGTCGCTTGATTCACTTTCTGTTGAGGGTGCAACTAAGCTGTTTACCTCTTCTTGTGGCCACGAGAAACGTTCAGGTTGAGCAGTTGATAATTTGGCTGAGCAGAGCAGTGACACTCTTAATGTAAATACGTTGTTATTTTATGGGTGCCCGCATTTCTTGGATTTGTAAGAGGCAAGTCTTGCTACCCATGCAGCGAGGGTATGAATATTGTGAAAGTTGCACTTGGGACCTAGCTTTTAATGCAGTTTTATGGCCTGTCTCCACTCTGCTTATTTCTATCAGATTCCTGACCTCGTGTTCGCATGCTCTGGAAACCAGAGCGGATAATTCTCTTGACGTATGATTCCTTAAAAATCTCTTCCAGATAGCCAAGGTAACAATTTGGTCTCATAACGATTTCATACAATTTTCCTTGTCTCTGCATGGTTAGCCAGGGAATGAATTTCAACCACTATTTATGGTAATTGAAGCATGGGCTGGAAATCTTTGTGGCCGTATGGCTACAGTGATTTTAATGATTTAAAAATTCTTCTAGTTACACGTGGATTTATTACCCTTTCTTAGTATTGGTTTGAATGTCATTGTAAGTGGCAGGATACTCCTGTCTTCTAGAACTGATTTCACAAGATAACGCTTGTCGGACTATATCTGTAAGAATTTTCATTTGAATTCAGTTGGATTGAGACCACAATCAGCAGAAAATAGCTGTTCCTTGGATTTTATGCAGAAGAGAGTGTCACGTGGGACCTGGCCCAGTAACTTTTTTAATATTCAAGAAACAAAATTGTTACTCACATGGGAAGACCAAAAACAAAGGAAAAAGAAGATATTATATTGGTTTAGTCGTTAAAGCTGTCATCACACATTGATTCCCACATGTTTAATTTTAATATCTCTCAACTTGTTGTAATCAGACAATAGCGTTGCATCACATTTTGTTATGGAAGGTTTGGGGCATGGGAGATGGGAGAAAAGACCTTTAATCAGTGAAAACATGAGGCCCACAATTATGCAATTCTGTATTGATGTAGAATGCTTCGCACCAGGGCTGTGAAGCTTTTTAGTAAAGTTCATTTTTGTGTGGACAGAGCAGGTTTCATGTTGTCAAATTTAGGATGTAGGTCACCACACTGAAATCAGTGGTGCAAAGTGAGGAGTTTGTTGGAAAGTGAGGAGATTTCATGTACAACATTCCAATCTAATTTTGATGCTACAAACATTTTATGAAGTGGTACAGGAAGGCTAATTTATATCTTTTGTGAGCCATAATTGGACTTAACAATTTCGTATGTTTTGAACATATTACATATTCCCAAAAAAGACAGTAGTAACTTTCTTTGGTCTATAGTTGCATATGTAATATTGTTTTTGAGTTTATAGTTAGGCATGAAAACTTGATGGGTTGATATTTATTTACTGATTTGTAGTATTTGAAGTGACTATTCCATGCTTACCAATCTTCTATGATTACTTAATATCTTTATGTGAAGCTCTATATGTACATAATAGTTTTCCAAAATGTTCTAATAATCTTAGGTTGTGAATCTTAGAAGTAATAATATCATCTTATTTTCATGAATATATATATATATATATATGTGTGTGTGTGTGTGTGTGTGTATAGATTTCTCTAATTTGATATACATACAAGATTGACAAAAAAACCAATATGTACTCTATGGATGATATATTAGTATATGTTATTTTTTAAATACAAAAAAATTGTGTATTTATTTAAAATTCTTCACTATGTCCATGGTTGTAGCTATTGTCTTTGGTGTGTGTTTTTAAAAAATATTACCTTGTCATTTTTTGAATGTGTTTGGGTTTTTGAGGTTTATTACATCAAAATTTATCAAAATATAAGTTTAACATACGACAATGTTAGTAAAAAAAAACTTATGAATATGTATCATAAAGTTATAAAATAATAGTGTATAATACATTATAAATTATTGATTCTATTTGATATTATATAATATTTATACTTTATTTTTAATGAATTTATTCATTTTATAAAATGACCCTTTTAAGAATCTTGTGATGCAACTATTTTAATTCATCACCAATTGTCATTATGTCTACAATTTTATTTTATTTTATTTTATTTTTTAATTTAACATTTTATAGTTGAAACATTGAAAAGACAGTTTAAAATCCATACTTTGTACCAGCGGTTTCTCTGCCCATTTTTACCACACCGCATGTTAGAAACACCAAGTATCAACTTTGAATCATGAAATTGATACTTAGTGTTTCTAAAAATTATGAATTTTGTGGATCCTTCAAAACAAGATAAATCTTGGCTCATATTTTTTTGTTTGATGAATCTTAAAATGGCTGCTGCCATGAGTTTTTGCTCAAATATAAGGCAGACCACTAAATACATTCATTTCTTCACTTTTATCTTTATTTTAATTTTTATATTGATTTTGATTTATATGGTTATAATTCCAATTTATTTTACATAAATCTAGCAACAAAGCATTGGAGATGAAAAAACAAAAAATAAGGAGTGCAATTAAATCTAAAATTGTGTCAAAGCAGAATCATGCACCATCCCAAGGACTCAAACCCTAGACTACAAGGTTAAGGCCCTTGTGCTCTACCATAAAATCTCCACCAAGTTTAAAGTAAATTTAAAAAATACATTGTACTTTAGCGCAACCATTTAATTAGGTTGCTATAATCAGACATACTTTTTATAATCCATCGAGGTGGTTAATCTGTCAATATAATCATCTAGAAACTTCTATTATGAAATAATCAAGTGACTAGTGAGGTCATATAACACATAACAAAGAAGTCAAGAAGTCTAGACTTGAATTTATGCAATCAAATACTCTCCAAGCTGTTTGGTGTGTACTTACTTATTTTTGAGTGAAAGTTGTTATGATAAGTTGCATATATCAAGTCAAAAGTATCTTTGGCCATTTGACATCCATTAATTATGATCATGTTCACTAAGATGTTGAGTAGTGGCAATATAGATTTCTAAATTAATAAGTGAGTCTTAGAAGTTGTATGTCCTTTGTTCTGCATTTACCACTCTCGATAAATCGGCTTAAGTGTATAATATTGGATCTAATCTACCTCGTATTTTATTTTCTATGGTTGTGATTAATTGGGTCATTTGTGAAAAGTGTGATGATGAAAGAGGAGCAATGACCACTTTAAATGCAGTAATAGCTACACTAATATCAATCTTTCTTCAAAGATCATTTTTTAGGAGTTGGGCCAATTGTGGACCAGACTACTTAATAAAAGTATTGATTGGTAGTTGGAGGTATCAAATGCTCATTCTATTGCAAAGTTGTTGGAATAAAGTAGAAGTGAAGTCGTCTGATGTTGATGGCAAGGGAGTAGTGTTTGGTGGTGAGTTTGGAAGGACATGAACTTCTATTGATGTAGAATTTAAGGCAGTCAGACATGAAAAACATACTAGGACATTAAGAGTCATTAGATTGTTAGGTACTTGATTGATAATTTCTTTATTTATTTAAGTGTTAAAATCATGTAGAATCTCTTAAAAGAGGTGTTTGATGGCTAAGTCCATGTTGCTATTGGAAGGTGTAGATGGTAGATTGTCCCTATATATAGAGTGCATTGATATGTAATGTAGTTGATTGGATAACAGGATGGCTAATTGTTGTTATAAAAAGCTCAATGGTTGAAGGAATTTCTATTTGAGGAGGTTAAAATACATAGAGAAAAAAGTGGCCATCATAGTTCATACCTTTTTTGAAAATGTTCATTGTACTTTGAATATATGAGGCCAAGCATTTAATGTACGTTATAGAATTCTAAACTTCCATTCTGACATGGATCATGGTCTTTCAAGCATAAAAGAGGGTTGCTCATAGATTGAATGATATATTTTTTAACTCATGAAAATATATTTGAACCCATAGATTCTAAAAAAATATACTTTTTAAGATCTCTCAAGAAGTAATAGGATTTATTATGCATGAAGTCTCGATATTCCAATATAAATCTTTGGTATTTCTACTTAGTTCTTGAAAGGGCCAAAGAAGATGTTGTATAGAGATCAAATAAACTTGCTTCTATGCATGAGGTACAAAAATAGTTCAATTCTACTACAACCATCGGGCACATCATGAGTACATGTTTCACAACTTCTATTGCCAAGCTGCAGCTTGTACATTTTTTCTCTCCTTGAGCTTGTAGTCTCCATTGTACGATCAAGAGACCTTTCGCTAATATGAGCCAATGCATGGCTAATATTTTCTTGTGAATCTACAAGTGCTAGACATTAGTAAAAAAAAATCTTCAATGCTTTTTAGAATTGTAGCCTTCATTAAAGAAATATTGTATGTCCTTCATTGTATTAGGCTATTTATTGAATCCTATTTGATGGTTCAATTTGGATGTGTAATTGAAGAAGTTAATTTGTTTGATATTATCAATGGATTTTGAAGACCAATCAATTGGATTTTAAGGTAGATAGAAGATGGAGGTATTATAAAAGAGTCAAACATATTGGTGGGGTTTTGGTGGATTAATAAGGTTGAATACAATGACCATATTGTGTATTGAGGAAGTAAGCACTATGCAGACTTATTCAAGGATGCTAAGAAGAATACATGTGACTTTATCTTGTCGTGTGAGTTTTTCAATGATAGTTATCTTATAATGATATACTTTCCATCCCTCTTTGTATTTGCTTAGATATTGATTATTGAATTTGTACTCAAGGTAATCCATTCTTTCAACTTAGGTGGAAAAGATTCTGTAGATGTTCATGGAATATATGGCACTACTTTGTTATGTTGCAAATGTATGTTACAAAATTTGATCTTATATTGTCATATGTCACCTTATAAGCAATCTTGTGTATCTTTGTTTTAGAGTTTGTTGATGCTAAAGACTTCTTTTTATTTTCATGTGTCGTATTATAATACTTAGTAGATGCCTAATTCAGTGCTATTGTTATCAACAATAAGAAAATTTCCAAAGAAGGGTTGACAAAGGATCTCTTTATGGTGATTGGATGGAGTTTATTGTAGACTAGGTCTGATTTGCATCTATACATAAAAGATAGCTTTTCATTGGTAGAAACTAATTTTAGATGGCTTTTTAGCTTGTATAATCCAATGTAAATTTGGTGGCCATATTTATGCTTTAATCATTCTAGTATTGGCTATGTTGTATTTGGCAAAGACTTTTTATGGTGTATGGCTCAGTTATAAGACTCTTATCATCAATTTTGAAAGGAAGACTAAGATTTACATTACCAAGTCAAATAATTTGATTCC